GAGAACATTGTTGGTTGATGATCTTGAACCGAGAAGCAATAGCTTGCGGTGATCGTACCCTGGCTCCGCTCATGCCCAGATCATTTTCCAAAAAAATTTGGTACACATGCAATCAAAATGAATCATTTGATTGATTCGTGCCAATAGCCCTATCTTTAGAGATAGAAACCCACCCTCTACACCATGCCTCATCTTCTTGCGGTTTCCAATTCACACCTCTTTGAGGTTTTGGGCCCATTCTCAACAAGAATGAATGTAGAATGAAAAATTATAACAAAGGAAGAAAGGAAAACAAAGGGAGAAAGGAAAAAAATGATTTTTGGTGGATTATTTACCAAATGAATGGCTAATTATAGAGTTTGGAATAAGTTTTGGGGTTGGATCTGACTTAGATTAATTATAAATATTAATTTGACTGTTGGATTTAAATTTGAGCCGTTGGATGTGAAATTTTATCGTTGAGATTCCCTAAAATGAATCAGAATCGTTGATTTTATAGCTATTGGAATATATATATATATATATTTTAAACAGCATAACAAAACATTTGAAAAAGTAGCCGTTGCTTCTAAAAAACGGAAAGGGAATCTTTATTCCCACTTGTCAAAGTGGGCCAGCGACATAGCGAAGCACATGGGCTGCTCTTTGCATCCAATAAAAAATTATATATTAAAGCAGATTTGGGCCCCACGAGTTTATCAGCCCAGGCAGAATTCTGACTGGAATTCTAGTCTAGTTTTGAGTCATCTCAAATTTTCACCACCCAAAATACATGGGTTGGAGAAGTTTTTTGGAGGCTAAACTCAAAATTTGAGTTTCCACCCATTGGGTTGGAGATGGTTTAAGGACGGTTACTGTTCACATTAACAGTGTTTGCCCTAGTAAATTTTTTTGTTGCTTTTCCACCCATTGCCATGACAACTCAAGAGCAATTACTATTCACGTGGGATTAATAAATAAAAAATGGTTAGGTGTGTATATATATATATATATATATATAAACTCTAAATTTTTTGGTTTTTTTCTTCTCAGAATTTTTCTCGATTTTTTTTCTTTGCTAGCATTAGCACCTCAAGCAATAGCTCAGGTTGTTCTTGCCTTTAGGCTTGCTCAGTTTTAGTGGAGCCCACCTCCTGCTTGGGTTGCAATTCATTAGTAGAGTGACTTTTGCCAGCCCAGGAGGTCTTTTGCCTTGGCAATTTGTACTACTAGAACTGCTCCTACCCATGTGGTTTATCTTTATTACACATTTTGTTGAATATTGTATTTTTGTCTATTTTTATAATTTGAGTGACTTGTAACACGTGCAACCAATTCCCACATCATGCGTTCAAAGGACATACACTACTACATTTTTCACTTTGCGCGACGAAGAGAATTTCGTCGCGCAAAATACATTATAGTAGCACAAATTTTAGCGCGACAGAAACTTCGTCGCGCAGATTCCGTCGCGCAAAGATCGTGGAGAAAGACTTTGTGCGACATAATTTTTTCATTCGTCGCGCAAAGAGACTTTGCGCGACGAAAAAATATTGGTCGCTCAAAGTGACTTTGCGCGACGAAACATATTGGTCGCGCAAAGTGACTTTGTGCGACGAAAATATTGGTCGCGCGAAGCGACTTTGCGCGACGAAAAATATTGGTCGCGCAAAGTGACTTTGCGCGACGAAAATATTGGTCGCGCAAGGCGACTTTGCGCGACGAAAAATATTGGTTGCGCAAAACTTTGCGCGACGAAAAAATTTATTTAAAAAAAAATTCCCGCGTCCCATTTTTGGTACCC